GTCCTACTGTATCTGTGCTTGGAGTTCAAAAACGTTTACCCAAAATAAGCAAGCAGTGTAATTAAAAGTCATTGAAATATTCAGTGAACTTTTAAAGGAAGTTATTCAAAAACTATAATTTCTGTTCACAGAGCCTTAATAAAACCTCCCAGGACAACTTTAAAGGAACCAAAGTAAAATATTCTCAGAACCGTCCTGCTACCTAAAAATAAATGTTTCCAAAATGTTCACTTCTGTTCTTAGAAGGTTAAAAATATATATGTTTTACCAGTCAGGAAAAGTATGGCATCATTCCCACAACCAATGTGAAACCAACAATATATGCTGCCACAACTTCCAAGGTACCAAGTGTGCACTATCAGGTTTTTTTGGTGGACATGTGAACATGCTTTAAAATAGGCTTACTTTAAAGTCCCTTGATCTATCTATGTTTGTGAGAGATATCGAATACTTTTTAGAGCCTGCTAGCTGAGAGATGGCTCATTTTCTCCAGTATCTGCACTGGAGAAAAGGGGTTCTCCTATGGGGATAGCCAAATAACAATTTTAGGTTCTAGATAGCACCATTTTTTCTAAGACGGTTGAACTGAGATGTGGACACGAACCTATGGTTAGAGTTGTGGAACGGTATGCACATATTCACCGGAAGTAGGATATCAGACTCCACTGGGTAGCAGATTTTTCTTTACAGAGTTTAATCATAGAGGTGCCTCAGCCTCATGTTATGTGTTCCTGCCTGAAGCAGACGCTTATCCTCTTGTTCCTCAAGCTTCAAGTTCCTCGGCTTGCACATCACTGATGACCTGAAATGGTCCCTTCACACAGACCGTGGTGAAGAAGGCACAACAGAGCGTCTTCAACCTCAGGAGACTAAAGAAATTTGGCTTGGCCCCTATGACCCTCAAAAACATCTACAGATGCACCATTGAGAGCATCCTGTCGGGCTGTATCACCACCTGGTACAGCAATTGCACCGTCCACAACTGCAGGGCTCTCCAGAGGATGGTGCAGTCAGCCCAACGAATCATCGGGGGCACACTGCCTGCCCTCCAGGACATCTACAACACGCCAAGAAGATCATCAAGGGCCTCAGCCACCCGAGCCACGGGCTGTGCACTCCGCTACCATCTAGAAGGAGGAGACAGTATAGGCACAGGTGCATCAAAGCTGGGACCGAGAGACTGATAAACAGTTTCTAGCTCCAGGCCATCAGACTGTTAAACAGTCAGCACTAGTCGGCCTTCACCCAATAATCTGCCCTAAACCATAGTCACTGTTACTAGCCGGCTACCACCCAGTACTCTACCCTGCACCTGCTTTGCCCTATGTACAGTTGAAGTCGGAAGTTTACATACACATTAGCCAAATACATTTAAACTCAGTTTTTCACAATTCCTGACATTTAATCCTAGTAATAATTCCCTGTTTTAGGTCAGTTAGGATCACCACTTTATTTTAAGAATGTGAATTGTCAGAATAATAGTAGAGAGAATGATTTATTTCAGCTTTTATTTCTTTCATCACATTCCCAGTGGGTCAGAAGTTTACATACACTCAATTAGTATTTGGAAGCATTGCCTTTAAATTGTTTAACTTGGGTCAAACGTTTTGGGTAGCCTTCCACAAGCTTCCCACAATAAGTTGGGTGAATTTTGGCCCATTCCTCCTGACAGAGCTGGTGTAACTGAGTCCGTTTTGTAGACCTCCTTGCTTGCACACGCTTTTTCAGTTCTGCCCACAAATGTTCTATAGGATTGAGGTCAGGGCTTTGTGATGGCCACTCCAATACCTTGACTTTGTTGTCCTTAAGCCATTTTGCCACAACTTTGGAAGTATGCTTGGGGTCATTGTCCATTTGGAAGAACCATTTGCGACCAAGCTTTAACTTCCTGACTGATGTCTTGATGTTGCTTCAATATATCCACTTAATTTTCCTTCCTCATGATGCCATCTATTTTGTGAAGTGCACCAGGCCCTCCTGCAGCAAAGCACCCCGACAGCATGATGCTGCCACCCCCGTGCTTCACGGTCGGGATGGTGTTCTTCGGCTTGCAACACACACCCTTTTTCCTCCAAACATAACGATGGTAATTATGGCCAAACAGTTCTATTTTTGTTTCATCAGACCAGAGGACATTTCTCCAAAAAGTACAATCTTTGTCCCCATGTGCAGTTGCAAACCATAGTCTGGATTTTTTATGGCGGTTTTGGAGCAGTGGCTTCTTCCTTGCTGAGGGCCTTTCAGGTTATGTCGATATAGGACTCGTTTTACTGTGGATATAGATACTTTTGTACCTGTTTCCTCCAGCATCTTCACAAGGTGCTTTGCTGTTGTTCTGGGATTTATTTGCACTTTTCGCACCAAAGTACGTTCATCTCTAGGAGACAGAAAGCGTCTTCTTCCTGAGCGGTATGATGGCTGTGTGGTCCCATGGTGTTTATACTTGCGTACTATTGTTTGTACAGATGAACGTGGTACCTTCAGGCATTTGGAAATTGCTCCAAAGGGGTAACCAGACTTGTGGAGGTCTACAGTTTTTTTGCTGAGGTCTTGGCTGATTTCTTTTGATTTTCCCATGATGTCAAGCAAAGGGGCACTGAGTTTGAAGGTAGGCCTTGAAATACATCCACAGGTACACCTTCAATCGACTCAAATGATGTCAATTAGTCTATCAGAAGCTTCTAAAACCATGACATCATTTTCTGGAATTTTCCAAGCTGTTTAAAGGCACAGTCAACATAGTGTATGTAAACTTCTGACCCACTGGAATTGTGATACAGTGAATTATAAGTGAAATAATCTGTCTGTAAACAATTGTTGGAAAAACTACTTGTGTCATGCACAAAGTAGATGTCCTAACCGACTTGCCAAAACTATAGTTTGTTAACAAGAAATTTGTGTAGTGAATAGAATAGCCTTCGTTTCTCAGAACAAGAATAGACTGACGAGTTTCAGAAGAAAGTTATTTGTTTCTGGCCATTTTTAGCCTGTAATCGAACCCACAATTGCTGATGCTCCAGATACTCAACTAGTCTCAAGAAGGCCAGTTTTATTGCTTCTTTAATCAGCATAACAGTTTTCAGCTGTGCTAACATAATTGCAAAAGGGTTTTCTAATGATCAATTAGCCTTTTAAAATGATAAACTTGGTTTAGCAAACACAACGTGCCACTGAAACACAGGACTAATGGTTGCTGATAATGGGCCTCTGTACGCCTATGTAGATATTCCATAAAAAAATCTGCCGTTTCCAGCTACAATAGCCATTTACAACATTAACAATGTCTACATTGTATTTCTGATCAATTTGATGTTATTTTAATGTACCAAAAAATTGCTTTTCTTTCGAAAACAAGGACAATTCAAAGTGACCCCATACTTTGGAACTGTAGTGTATATATAATATAATAAATATATATATATATATATATATATATATATATATATATTCCGGACGCTGACATTGCTCATTCTGATATTTGCTAATTTATTTATTTTAACTTTTTGTATTATGTGCGAATTGTTTTATCAAATAAAAATGACTAGGTATTATTACTGCACTGTTGGAGCTAGAAACGCAAGCATTTCGCTGCACCTGCAATAACACCTGCAAATCTGTGTACACGACCAATAAACCTTTATTTGATTGGATCCACTGGGCACACATCAACGTTGTTTCCACATCATTTCAATGAAATTACAATGAACCAAACCTGGAATAGACGTTGAATTGACGTCTGTGCCCAGTTGCCAGGGTCTACATAGTGTATTGGTGGTAAAAGTGACCTGGACACTCACAGGCTTCAATCTAATTACACTAATGAAGTTTAGAGCCTGGAGGCATTATTTTATGTTAGCAATTTAATTTAATTGTATCTTTATTTTTACCAGGTTAGTCTTATTGAGATTAAAAATATATTTTGTAAGAGAGAACTTGCCAAAAAAGCAGCTGTCAAAGTTTCAAACATTTACAACATAAAACACAAAGCACTACAGTAAAAAAAAAAAAATTAGTTTTCACATTGGTTTTGAGAGGAGTGTTTCAACTAGGGGTCAAAAAATTGCCAGCCCCCTAAATGATTTTCCACTATAGTTTTTACCCTAGCTTTAAAATAATTGAAGAAGACGAGCTCCTGTAGTTTTAAGTCCTTTTGTAGCTCGTTCCAAGTAGAGGAGGCAGAGTAATGGAATGTTTTTATACCTAGCTCTATACAGGCCTAGGGTACCGTCAAGGAGATACAGTCCTTTGAGTGTAGGTGATAATTGTCATTAGTCTGCTGGACAATGTTGGTACACAGGTAATACTGTATGGAGCAGTCTTAGTATGGCCTTTTTTTTTGCTTAGTGGATGCTTCCACTAAAAACTCTCAGAGCAATATCCTCATCTCTATGAAAATACATCACTTTCTTCTCCTGAACTTTGTTAATTTACTAAAGAAATTGAGAAACCATCTCAATGGAATATCTACCTGGCCTTTACTTTCTCTCTTGTGCGACTGTCATGGCTGCATTTGAACAATAAAGCCTGTGATGATTTATTTATTTGCATAAAACATCTACTTGACTCATTTCCATATCATGTATAATGAGCTTTTGTGGGATAATAATCACACAGGATAGTTGGGCAGTGTGATATTTTAAATCCTTTATGAGTTTATGCTGCCATCCGGTGGTTAATAAAATACTTGTCAAATGTCTGTACGCCGTGATTTTATATATTAGCCTGTATCAGTAGTCAATAATAATTCATATTGTTGACAATTTGTCACTGTCTCTGAAAATATTCTTTTTAATATTTTCACAATTTGCTGTTGAAAATCTCAAAAGGGCAGTTGTATTTCTAGAGGACGGAACGGATTAATCAAATACCGGAGTTACTTGGGATTGCATTTGTGATGCACTACAGTAATACGACTACGTGTGTTCGACCTACTTCGCTTGAACTGTTGGTGATTTCGGTCACAACATCACTAAAAGCCTCATCTACGGGGTACTTCGGTCATGTTTCAGAATGCTTTAAGAAGATTATCTAATGAAACTCGAAGTTTTCAAACGTCTGTCAAATATGTGCATTTTCTACGGGGCGTAGGACCTCTTCGTGTATCTGCTAGGCATTTGACAGATGTGAAGGACGCACAACCCTTTGACACTTCCTTGCTCGAATTTCTGGTGTGTCCACTATCCAAAAAGCAATTGAGGTAAGTCATTATTATACAAAGCCAATTCAATACTAATGTACTTTATCCAACGACAATCTTGTTTTGCCATGGCTTAGCTGAGACAGAAACAACAAACTTTTTAGTTAGCTACGCGTTAGTTTGCCAGCCAACTAGCTAGCTAATTGTTGTACTCTTCACTCACTCAGGTACGAGGAAAAGACCAATGAACTCATCAACGAGGAGCTTGGAATCGCATACCCAATCGTTAATGGGATTCCAAACATGATCCCCACAGATGCTAGATTGATTAAAAACGATCCTGAAACACTAGTGGAACCAGCACAAAGTCATAAAACACCAAATACTTATTAAGATCTTGACCCTGAACCGTGTATAAAATAACTTGTAAGCTGAAAGTCAAGATGTTTTCACTGTCTACCCTTACAGTACTGGTTCCCATAGTCTCCCTATTTGGACTTTTCTACTCTGCGACAGTGGATGAGAATTTCCCACAGGGATGCACCAGCACTAGCAGTGTGTGTTTCTACAGTCTTCTGTTACCAGTAACGATCCCTGTCTATGTGTTTTTCTATCTTTGGAAATGGATGGGAATCAAGCTGTTCAGGCACAACTAGTGTATGCTTTACATTAATATTTTTTACAGCAGAATGATGTGAATATTGAATAAAGGTATTACATTATTGGTACTAAAGTGGATGTCATGGGTGTTGTATCGCTACCAAAACCAGCACATGATTCTGTAAGTAATAAATGGAATGACAAATTAAACTTTATTTGATGAGTGACAAATGCAATTTCTTCCATAAAATTGAATATATTTGAATGTTTTTAATGGAACTTAACTTGAAACAGAATGTTGATTAACCTATAATGGCATCGTCAGCAGTAATTTGAGAGTTTTCTTGTCCCTCTCCCCACTGATAAGTCCCAGAAAAGTTTATAATTCCCACTCTTAGGGCTTTCCCAGGGAAATGTGTATTTTGCTTTGTCTTTGGTTGTTGAGGTGCAACATCTGACTACTTTTGGCTGTTTTGCTTGTATGTAAGCAGGGAATTTGGTGCCTTCACTGAATCACTTGCCAGTGGCAAAAGCTCTTGTTTTTGAAGGCAATGTTCAACAGCATGTTTGACAGTGGACTCCCGGGGAGAAGGGCCTTGGTCAGGGAGGTGACCAGGAACCTGATGGACACTCCGACAGAGCTCTAGAGATCCTCTGTGGAGATGGGAGAACCTTCCAGAAGGACAACTATCTCTACAGCACTCCACCAATCAGGCCTTTATGGTAGAGTGGCCAGACGGAAGCCACTCCTCAGTAAAAGGCACATGACAGCCTGATTGGAGTTTGCCAAAAGGCACCTAAATACTCTCAGACCTTGAGAAACAAGATTCTCTGGTCTGATGAAACCAAGATTGAACTCTTTGGCCTGAATGCCAAGCGTCACGTCTGGAGGAAACCTGGCACCATCCCTACGGTGAAGCATGGTGGTGGCAACATCATGCTATGGGGATGTTTTTCAGTGGCAGGGACTGGGAGACTAGTCAGGACCGAGCCAAAGATGAACGGAACAAAGTACAGAGAGATCCTTGCTGAAAACCTGCTCCAGAGCGCTCAGGACCTCAGACTGGGGCGAAGGTTCACCTTCCAACAGAACAACGACCCTAAGCACACAGCCAAGACAACGCAGGAGAGGCTTCGGGACAAGTCTCTGAATGTCCTTGAGTGGCCCAGTCAGAACCTGGACTTGAACCCGATCGAACATCTCTGGAGAGATCTAAAAACAGCTGTGCAGCAACGCTCCCCATCCAACTTCACAGAGCTTGAGAGGATCTGCAGAGAGGAATGGGAGAAACTCCCCAAATACAGGTGTGCCAAGCTTGTAGCGTCATACCCATGAAGAATCAAGGCTGTAATCGCTGCCAAAGGTGCTTCAACAAAGCACTGAGTAAAGGGCCTGAATACTTATGTAAATGTTTCTAAAAATCTGTGTTTGCTTTGTCATTATGGGGTATTGTGTGTAGATTGATGGGGGGGGGGGGGGAACAATTTAATACATTTTAGAATAAGGCTGTAATGTAACAAAATGTGGAAAAAGTAAAGGGGTCTGAATACTTTCCGACTGCGCTGTATATAGTCTGGGGTCAGGGTTGGGGTCAATTCAGAAAGTAAACTAAATTCAAATTCCACATTTTTCTCATTGAAAAGCATTGAAGAAATGTGTGATTTCTGTGTACTTCCTGAATTGAAATGGAATTGACTCCAGCCCTGCTGGAAGTAGCTCTCACAATGGATTTGTATATGCTTTTAGGCTGTTTATCAAATTAGAATGCTCTCTGACTTTATTATAGCAATACTGTATTTGATTCTTACCAGATGTTCAAGACACCTTCTGTTCCTCCAATGTCAGCAAGCTGTTACTCGTATTCTCTCTTTAAACCATGTAACCCAGCACTTGTATTAAACATTGAAGATGAGCCTCATAAAGATGAAACAGTGGACCATCTTGACACAGCGCAACATCATCAGCATTGCCTATACGACTTATATTTTGTATTCATGATGGAACTTGTTACAGTAGCCTAGTAGACTTAACTTCGAAAATATTACAGGCTTTGGTCTTCACAAAGTAAGGAGACAGGCTATTTAGGCTATACAAATATAGCCCGGAATATGGGAAACTGAGATTATGAATTTCTAAATCTAAACCAATTAACGTTTTCATAAACTATATTAATCATGGCGATGAATTACCTCAAATCATCCTCCGGCCCCGACACTTCACTTGTCAGACTCCCACCAGCCCACCTGAAACTTCAAAGAGAGCGCCTCTTTATAGCGCTCATGCCATTTCATTTGACAAGGCAACTGGCTTATCTCGTGACACATCTACTGTATGCGAATCTTGCCCACTACTCACCTGCACATACACGCAAAGTTTGTCCATAGGGTAATTTACCTAATGAGAATATTAGGTTTCAAGAACAATGTAGCCCAATCTAAAGTGTCAAACTGATTCATTTTAAGGTGGTTTGTGTCAGTAGCGGTGCGTTGGTAAAATCACTGGGGAAGCCAAGCCCCCCCAACCACACCTTTATTTATCTCTTTCATGTTGACGAAACAGTCTATCACTCTGTCATACAGTACACGCTTTTATTTTTTGTTGTCCTAGGCTACCTGGCTAAAATGCTTTCTCGCTAGCCTAACTTCCATTCATGGGCAACGTTAGCTAGTTAACATGAGCCTTCTACATCTAAATGTAGCTACATATTGAACTTCCATCCGCTCAGGCCATGGGCACAACAATGTATGAATTAATGGTTGGATCAGAATCGCTTATAATCATTGGTCAGTACGGAGAATTAAGTAAAACCACAAGTCCAAATCCCTATCTCCATCCATGGGTAATTTAGAAAAGGGCTAGCTAACAGAGGACAACAACACAACGAGATGCAACAATTCAAGTAGTTTCAGTCAATGACATATGCTCTCAATGTGATTTGATAGAAGAGACGCCTAATCTAAACTGGCGTCCCTTGACACTTTTTTTTGGTGCGCCAGAACCATTCGCAGTTGAGCTCGCTCAGTTTAGCTCAATGCTGATTGGCTAGTTTTTGACACTTTTTTTGTCAAGGGAGGCCAAATGCTCGCTAGCTTCCCTTGCATTCAATGCTATGGGCGGCAACAATGTCATACTCGTTTGGACAGCATCAGAAAGATGGCCTACACGTAGAGAGACAGAGGGGCGCTGTTTCGCTCGCCTCTTGCGAATTGAAGGAAAATGATGAAACACAGATAGACAAAAGATAAATTATTCAATGTTATTTTAATAATGAAGATGTCAATATACAGTGCATTTGGAAAATATTCAGACCCCTTCACTTTTTCCACATTTTGTTATGTTACAGCCTTATTCTAAAATTGATTACATTAAAAATGTTCCTCGTCAACCTACACACAATACACCATGATGACAAAGTGAAAAGAGGTTTTTATAAATTTTTGCAAATGTATTACAAATAAAAACAGAAATACCTTATTTACATAAGTATTCAGACCCTTTGTTATGAGACTCGAAATTGAGCTCAGGTGCATCCTGTTTCCATTGATCGTCCTTGAGATGTTTCTACAACTTAATTGGAGTCCACCTGTGGTAAATTAAATTGATTGGGCATGATTTGGAAAGGCACACACCTGTCTATTTAAGGTCCCACAGTTGACAGTGGAAACCAAGCCATGAGATCGAAGGAATTGTCCGTAGCGCTCCGAGACAGGATTGTGTTGAGGCACAGATCTGGGGAAGGGTACCAACAAATATCTGCAGCATTGAAGGTTCCCAAGAACACAGTGGCCTCCATCATTCTTAAATGGAAGAACTTTGGAACCACCAAGATGGTAGAGTGGCCAGACGGAAACCACTCCTCAGTAAAAGGCATATGACAGCCCGCTTGGAGTTTGCCAAAAAGCACGTAAAGGACACTCAGACCATGAGAAACAAGATTCTCTGGTCTGATGAAACCAAAATCTAACTCTTTGGCCTGAATGCCAAGCGTCATGTCTGGAGGAAACCAGGCTCCACTCATATGGGTGGTCCTCTGTAGCTCAGCTGGTAGAGCACGGCGCTTGTAACGCCAAGGTAGTGGGTTCGATCCCCGGGACCACCCATACACAAAAAAAATAATAATAATGTATGCACGCATGACTGTAAGTCGCTTTGGATAAAAGCGTCTGCTAAATGGCATATTATTTATTTATTATTTATCACCTGGCCAATACCACCCTACAATGAAGCATGGCGGTGGCAGCATCATGCTGTGGGGATGTTTTCAGCGGCAGGGACTGGGAGACTAGTCAGGATTGAGGGAAAGATGAAAAAAACTGTTTTTGCTTTGTCACTAAGGGGTATTGTGTGTAGATTGATGAGGGGAAAAAAACTGTCATCCATTTTAGAATAAGGCTGTAACGTAACAAAAAGTGAAGGGGTCTGAATACTTTCCAAATGCACTGTAGATCTCAATGCAGATTTCAGAATAAGTTAATACAATATCCAAATATTAAATCACCCTACAAATTGACATGGTCAATGTATACTGTATAGGCAACCTTTCCAGTTTCCCTTCACAGTGTTCTGCAGGGTGGTAAATACAGATGTAACCTTTTTGCACCAATTCAGTCCTTTATGAGTCACCAGTCTAGCTTCCATCATGTCTCATAGCATAGCGTCAGTCACCTTCAGGTCCTACTGTGCTTACTATTTTCACAGGCTGAGAGGGGAATGCCTTGCACACAATAATGGGAGGACTGCTTTCTCTTTTTATTGTGGGAAAAAGTTTCTCTTAACTGTTGTCTGTGGCCTTTATGATGTCAGTCAACAAAAGCCATGATCATGGGTGATTGAGGATATTGTCTGTGAAAATAAACTGTGTTCTTTATACAATCACATTGATACAGTAATAGTCTAGTAGTGTACGGCGCAAAGCTTAGTCATTGAGAAATTATTTTGGTTGTTTTTCAGGAAATTCCTCTTTCCGGTGAGAACTTGGTGTGCCTGTGACGGAGTTAGAGAGCCAGGGGGAAAAGCAGGTGCAATAACATTACGTCCGCTACACTATTTTGTTTA